GACTGAAAACAAAGTATAGCTCCCATGAGATAAATAAGGAATCAATTACTACCTAGAGTAAAAAAAAGATGCCAATATAGCCAGGTGTGGTGGCGCACGCCTATAATCCCAGCACCTGGGTAGCTGAGGCAGGAGGATCACTATGAGTTTGATGCCAGCTTGGGCTACATAGTGAGTTCAAGACCAACCTGAACTACATAGTGAGACCCTGCCTAAAAAACACTACCCCACACACAAAAGTACAATGCCAGGCATGGTGGTGCATGCCTGTAATCCCAGCAATAAGACTGAGCCATGAGGCTTTGAAGTTCAAGCCCAACCTACCACATTGTGAGACCCTTCCTCAACAAAGCAAGAGTTTCTACTGAATGCACATCGCATTTGTGCCGTTGTAAAGTTAAAAAACCCTAAGCAAAATCATCATAAGTTGGAAACCACATGTCTATACTCCTACAGAGGACTAACATCTAGAATAAAGAATTCAAAAAATTGAGGACCCTCAAAATAAAAGATCCAATCAAAAAAATGGGTAACTGAAAGGACAATTTGCAGAAGAAGGAATGCAATAGCCAATAAATATGTGAAAAAGGGTCGGGGATTTAGCTCAGTGTTGCCGCACCCTGCCTCACAAGCACAAGGTCCCAAGTTTGATCCCTGGTACAAAAAAAAAAAAAATCCCAATACATGAAAAAATGTTCAGTATCACTGGCTATTAGAATATGCAAATTAAAACAACACTGAGCTACCATCTCACTCCAGAAAGAATGGCCATCATCAAGAAATCAGCCAATAAGAAATGCTGACAGGGTGGGAAAGCAGGAACCCTTCTACACCGTTGGATAGAAAGCATTATGGAAATTCCTCAAAAAACTAAAAATAGAAATCTCATTTGACCCAGCTATTCCCCTTCTAGGTATCATCCCCAAAGAGTTAAAGACATCATATTACAGTGATGCATGCATTCTCGTGTTTATAGCAGCACAATTCAATAACTAGATCTCGGGGCCAGGGGTTTAGATCAGTGGTTCCACCACCTGCTTCGCTCAAGTGCAAGGTCCCATGTTCAATCCCTGGTACCAAAAAACAAACAAACAAACAAAAAAAACAAAGAAAGAATAGATGTTGGAAGTGGTCATCAACAGATAAACGGGTAAAGAAAATGTGCTGTTTATACAGACTGAAGTACTAGTCTGCTCTAAAGATGGGTGAATTTGAGTTGTTTGTAGGAAAATGGATGCACCTTGAAATAAGAGTGTTAAATACGTCAAACACACAAGGTGAAATAGTGTATGGCTTCTCTTTGAGAAACTCAAAGAATAAAGAGCAAAAGAAAAGATAATAGGAAGTGGGGAGTGTGGGGATCATGAGTTTTGGTTGTAAGTATTGTTAGCTTTAGTAACTCCATATGTGTTAAATTGAGCAGGTAGAGTGTTTCCTTTGTGGAATTCCTGAAAGTTACAGTTTCTTGTCTCTGACCTTTAGATGTGTGGTTGTCCGGGTTACTACTACTCACGGTGGGTTGTTTTGGTGAACCTGTTTGCTCTTTTCCTGTGTGACCTTTCAGTTACTATGGTAAACCCATCCCATAATAGTTTGTGTTTTTTTTGCTTTAAAAGGCCGGTGCTTGCCGGCAATAAACGTCGCCTTGATCAGACTCTTGTCTTGGCGTCCTTCCTTTCTCTCTGCCCCATCTCCACCCCGCTGCTCTTTCAGGTTTGAGGCACTGCTGGACAGTGCTCTGCGCCGCCGGCTCGCGACAGGGGAGATAAGACATTTTGCCAATGGGAAGGGGATACAGAGATGAAGGGAGGGTTACAGGAGGGAAATGGAAGGGAAGGTAAAAGAATTAAGACACATTCTATACATGTACCAACTTTCCATAATGAATGGAATCATGTTCTGCAAACATACTAACATAAATAAAATTTTAAAATTTTGTTTTGTTTTTATGAGATAGAGTCTCACTTTGTCATTCATGCTAGTCTTGAACGCATGGTGATCCTCCTGCCTCAGCCTCCCAAGTGCTGAGATTATAGGCATAGGCCACCTTGCCCAGTTAAAAATACAAGAACTAGGCCAAGGATTTAGCTCAGCAGTGCTGCTGCCTACCTTGCAAGTACAAGGTCCTGAGTGCGATCCCCAGTACAAAAAACAGAGACAGGAAGAAGTAAAACACTTTAAAAAAAGAAAGTTTGAGTCAGGGACCAGGGATGTCACTCAGTGGTGCCACGCCTACCTTGCAAGCCCATGGTCCTGAGTTTGAGCCCCAGTACTGCAAAAAAAAAAAAGTGGGCTGGGGATTTGGCTCCGTGGTTCCACCACCTGGCCACGTGCAAGGGCCAGAGTTGTACAAAAAAACAAAACAAAACAAAGAAAGTTAAGTCCTACCTGGGCAATTTAGGGAAACCTTGTCCTAAAATAAGTTAAAGGGGGGGCAAAGCTACGGATATAGCTCAGTGAGAAGGCCCTGTATTCAATCCATGGTACCAAGCCGGGTGTGGTGGCGCACACCTGTAATCCCAGCACTCAGGAGGCTGAGGCAGGAGGATCACTG